TATATATATATATATACTATATATATATTTGATATTCATATACAATTTCCGAAACATTCCTCGTTCTAATGAATACGAAACTAAATTAAAAATTTATATATTTGCTTTTATTCTCGAAAAATATAATAGCAATGACTAGGTTATGTTGACTTTGAATGAAAATTAATACAGTATTTTTCGATCCATATTACAAAACGCAGATATATTGTATAACAAACAAGAAAGAAAGTGGGAGAAGCTAAAAGTTTAAAATAAATGGCATCTACAGCTGGTTAATTATCATTCATGATAAACTTTTCAAGTTGGATTAGAGGGATTCGAAGAAATATTTTAAGTTTATCAAAACACTTGTTTTCATAGTGAACAGAATTAAAAATACGTTAGAAGAAGAAACATAATAATACTTTATTTTATGACGAAAGTCAGCTATGAAATATAATGAGTTGCTTGGTGAATATTATTAAATAAATTTTCTCACTAGAAGAAACTGTTATTTCAATAAAAATAGGAATTATTTATAGCTAAAGCATTGTTTAGAGTAAACTATAATAAGTTCAAGTATAATAAGTTTATAATGATCAAATATTCGAAAAGGTAATTTTATTTCTTATCTGAAATAAAAATCTACTTACTTTTCCAAAACTACTTCATTCTAACTTTTCTACTTCATTCAAATTTGTTTCACAAAGAACGTCTGAAGATTGGTATTCAACGCATTCCCATATTTCTGTTACATTTATTTACAAATTTAGAGGAAGGTATCAGTTTGAAAACATGCTAAGTTTCAGAATTGTGATAGGTATATTTTCGTTTTAGAAACAGGTGTACTTACTTAAAAATAGTATGCTCACATACTCCATATTTAGCAAAGCATTCTTTCCATATTTAACAAAGCTACTTTCATATTTAACAAAGCTACTTTCATATTTAACAAAGCATTAATTTCCATATATACATTTACAAGTGTACAAAGATAAACATTTTAAAGTAAACTGCATATTATAGCATTTGGCAACAGATGTCCTTATTATTTTTCAGAGGACAATTATCTTATCTCACTACTCATATGTGTTGTGTCGTTCCGACGATACAAACACTTGAACTTATCGTGAAACAAATATTTAAAGTAACTACAATTCTTAAATTATAATTAACAGGAGAAATTTTTATATATTAATATTAAATCGTGAAGTATGAGATTGGTTAAAGAAGAGACATTGTTGGTTGATATCCCACAAATGCAAGGAACTATTTCATTCAAGAACGTGTGCACGCATATTTTCTCTACAATTTTGTCTTGTATCCTGGCTGACCAGAGTCAATGAATTTCTGAAAAGCAAGTCTTATAGCACTTTTGAAATTAAATTACTTTTCTATTAAAAGTTATCCAATTTTAGAAAGAAGTGAAAGTCAGTGAAGAGCTAGGTCTAGTATGTTAGGTGGAGAAAGAAATTCCAATTCCTAAAGTTTTGCCTGCCATCTGTTCAGTGTGTGATTTGGCAATTCCAGGCAATCAGACAGAGGTTGAGAATTTTTAATTAATCTAGGTTATCTTAAAGTTTTTGCATCATTATCATACTGCGTTGTGTTTCTTGAAGATTCATCCTCGTTTAAACTGTATTTTTAAATATATCGTTGAATTAAAAATAAAGTTCTTATTTTTTAGATCCCCAAAGAAGATGCAAAGAGCATAGATGGCTTTTACGTTGGTTACAGAATGAGATCTAGCAAAGACCCATTCACTTTTAAACCGGTTCAACTCTCGAATGGAGGCTTACAACAATTTGAAATAGGTAATTTGAACCGCTATACGGAATACACTGTCGTAGTTCAAGCATACAATGGTAGAGGTGCGGGGCCACCTTCGGAGGAAGCGTATGTCAGAACACTGGAATTTGGTAAGATATTTTAAGCAATGTATAAAAATTCTAAAATTGGACATGCATCACTATATCTTAAATTATCAAAATCTTTTTTTTTTAAATTTAGTAATACCTAAATTTAAAAAATAATAAAAATTTGTTGAAATAAATATTTACTATGGCTTATCGACTTTATTTTTTCTTTTACTAATTGTAATGATATAAAAATTCCGATATCGTTCAGCGTAAGTGGTTGATTCTGTTTCTTATTTTTAAAATCCTTTAATCAGATCTTTAGGGAACATGTGTGGATATTTACTACTATGTTTGAAAAATATTGTTGAGAGTTTCTTTGATATATTTTTTTTCGCAAGACATTAAAATAAGCTTTATTCTCTTAAATATATTGCATACACTTTTATCTAGTTATAAAGCTTGAACTCAGCAATTAAACTGTTTCAAATTGTTAACGATTTAAGAAAAATAATTTTTTAATATTTAAAAACAGTAAAATTAGCTATATATTTTTGAGAATTTGACTAAATCGCACTTCGTAGAACTTTGAAGTTAGCTACTGAATCTTTTAATGACTATAATATGCACCTTGGAAAATAGTTTAAATTTGATTTTACAGGGGAGATGATTTGTCGGAACATCGACAAATATCAGTATTACATAATTTATTTTTTCAAAAAAAAGTAAAAAATTCGAACGGAAATTGATAAATCATGAGTATTGATTCAAGTTATAGAATGTTCATATTGCAACTTTTAATAAATTTAATTAAAATACACAATACTATTTTTAATAATATTTGTTTAAATTATTCGGAATGCTGTTTCCAGATCCTCCGAATGCACCAATAATGCGGACATATTTTGCAACGTCAAAAACTTTGAAGTTGTCATGGGAGTCTAGAATTTCTTCGAATTCACCCACTTCTGGTAAGTAGAAATTAAATGATGTAACAAAAAATTTAATGAAATATAAATACGTACTATTAAACTTTCCAAGCTTTAACTCTATATTGTATACTGCTATGGATGAGCCAGCGAGCTTCCCCTCTTTGACAAAAATAATGTAACTTTTCCTTTGAGTAATGAATTACCGACTATTTGAGAATCAGGAATGGAAGAGATAGTGCAAAATTTTTTGCTTATACAAAAGAACGTTAATATATTCGAATACGAACTTTGAATGAGTAGTTTATTGTAACAGACTGCCTAAAGTTACTTTTAACCTTCCGAAAATCACGTTTTTCTTTTAAAAAGAAAACAACTTAAAAACTCAGTACGGAAATTTAAAAAAATCAAACATTCTAGGATGACACTGGGATAATTGTTTTAGTTAACTCTTGCAGAAGATTTTTAAACTAGTTCAGATGCTTTGGTTTCGCTCATTTTAAATATGTTACCGATTACTCTACTCTCAAGATACAGTTTTTTAACAACATTTTTAGTTTATTTTTTGTCGAAATGTAGAAATTTCAAAGCATTAGATATGCTTAAGAGGAGAACACATAAATGCTGAAGCAAACTTCTAGAGTATTTAAGTCACATCATCAGAATTAAATTGCATGGGAATCAATAAGCGGAAATGCTTTAATCTACCACTAGAGACACTCCTGTTTCATAAACTCTTTCTTATTGTGGTTCTGAACCTATATTTTTTTCAAACTTTGCATTTTACGGGGGGGAAAATAAGGCATGAGAAGCAAACACTGAGTGAATCAAGCAAGAGTTGAGCCTAGTAGATTCATAACAAATGTGAAAAGCAAGCATAAAAAGAAAGTAATTGATAGTTAAAATTTATTTATAAATAAATACATAAATTAGACAAAACATGATAGTTGGAAAAAATCGCACATGATTTAATTTTGTTTTATACATAAATAATTGAAATCTTGTTAATTAAGAAGGTGAATAGATCTTGAAATCGTTAACTGTGAAAACTATACGAAATTATGAATTACTGTATCAACTTTATTATATTTTAATTTATTTGCCATGTTTACATTTATTTATAGGTTATATACTACATCATAAAATGGAAAACACAAAGTGGCAAGAAACACACCTCTCTGGGGATAAATCGACGCACACACTTCACGATTTGCAATGCGGAACAACTTATTCTTTTTACCTCGTTGCTTTCAATAGCGTTGGGAAAGGAAACGCCAGTGAAATCATGACAGCTAAAACTGATGGTGGACGTAAGTATATTTAAATAAGATGATGTAAATTAATCAGCTTATAATATCATATTATGTAAATGGCTATGCTTACATTATTCACTAAAGTTTGCTATGATTATTCTTCGTACGTACCAGTTTATTCCCGTAATCAACTATGCACTTATTTTAAAGTAACATGCTAGAGTTAAAATACAAGAATTCAAAAACCTTCAGAATTCGACGTTTTAATTCCCTTTACACGTTTATGAAATATACAGAAAAGAATACTAAACTTTTAAAAAAATGATTGAATAAATTCAATTTCTCCATTAATTAAGCTTTTTAGTACACATTTCTTTTCAAATTTTATTTAGTACATATCACCTAAATTAATTTAGCATTACAGGCTTCAATAATAGTATGGCTATTTACCGAACTTCTAAATGAAACAATTGCATTTATTCATTTCATTTTATCTTAACGTAGGGTATTTTTTTTAATTCAAATTAGAACATAATACTAAACTTTAACAAGCATCATTAGCTTGAAACATCATTACCAGTATGGCGATTTTTTTTTCCTTTCCCCTAAGTAATTTTGTACTATCCCTCCATCAGATTTACTTTTCAGTACGTAACTTAATTTTTTTAAAATTTCAAAAACTATTGATTTTAAATTACTTATTCTTGGCAAAATTTGTTACAAGAAAACAAGATAAAATTTTTAAAAAATACGTTGTTTCATATTATTTGAAAAATACTAATTCAGTTACGTAGTCCACCTATGCTACCACCCTCATAGAGTTGATCTGACATAACAAATAGTAAGGAATTAAGTATCTAAGAAAAAGTAATAGGTTAATTTGATTATTGAGAGCTATAAACGAACATTCTTTACGGACGTAACTTTTAAAACCTTATGTAGTTTCATTGATATCAATGGCGCAGGTGCTAAACCAATGAAAAAATTCAATTTTTTAAAGATATCTTCTGAATGGTCTAATTGAAAAGTTTGTGTGATTCTTAGGATCGGGGACTAAATAACCCCTTTCACTAGCTTTCAGGACTCTAGTTCAAACGATTCTGGAGCTATGACACACACACACACACAAACAATCAGACTCTTCATTCTACTATTATGAAAGATTTAAACTATTTATAGCAGAGAAATGCTATTTTTAGTTGTAGCTGTAGCATAAATTTAGTACATCAAGCAAAAATGTACTAACTGTGTGACTTTATAGCATAAAACTTATTTCTGCGGATTTCATATCCCTCGAATCTACCCTTGCACTAATTAATTAGCTTATTTGAGGTAATCTTCTTGAATAATTAAGATTGAGTCCTAAAACGTGAAGATCCGATCATTGTAATCAATTGCTATTCTAGGTGTTCCTATTTAATTGTACGTATTGTACTGTAACGAATCAGGCTGCACTAATTAAACAGTTTTTCATAAAAGCTCATTTATTTGACAAAACTACCACACAGAAATAAATTGAAATACCCGTAACGAGTTAATATAAATCTTAAATGCAAACAAAAATTATTCTCAATAAAAACCAACTCTCCGCCGTTACAAAAAATATATCTTTCTTTTTATTTTTTTCTTGATCTCGTTGGTTGATCTCGTTGTAGTGTTTTCCATTTCATGCTTGTGTTAATTAGATATTTTTGAGATATTTTTAAGACTTTAGTACTTATGACTAGTCCAGGCTATTATAAATTTTAATTGTTATAATACTCCCACTTATTGCCAACATTAATTTCGTACTATGTGAGTTAATTTTGCCTAGTTACTTAATATAAATTAACAATAAAAATTTAAAATAATAAAACTAAACACTTTGAGGAGTCTGATTTATATTGATTGCATAAAACTCAATTGAAGTTTACCCTTGCCTGAATTTATTTTTAAAATTAAAATCATGAACTTTAATACGATATCCTTTATTTTTGGATAGGGAATGTCATTATTTTTAAGTCCCATAGTTATTACGAACTTTTCTTATATTTTTGCATCAAATCACATAATGCATTGTTTTCTAAACTGTGTGATTAAGAATTTATTATGTTTCAAAATAGGAAATATTCCTCGGGGAAAAGAGTAAAAAAAGAAGAATAAAAATCAATAGCTAATTTATATACATTTCAAAACATTATCTGCTTCTAAATCACTTCTAAAATCTCGTAATGCTCTTTTTTCTTGAAGGCGATTAACTTTTCCTAAACGTAGAACCCCATTTGTGGCATTTAGTTGAATCCTAAAATTCATTTTTCTAACATGTACTTATCTTCTTCGAAATAAAAAATGAGAAGCTTTATTTCCAAATATCCTAACGACTGAATAAGCTTTGAAGAGATTTGTTCCACAAACCTGAATTGAATGAAAATCTTCTGAGACAATATCACGTGACGTATTTCTTATTACTTCAACGCGAAATAAGGACACATTGGGACGAAAAAGAGGATAAAATTTCCTCTTCGATACAAGAATGGAAACGAAACAATTTTATTCGTTCCTGCTTTGGGGATTTTATCGAAGATTTACACCAATTCTAAAGAAAAGAACAAAATGGAAAAGCATTAAAGACTAAAGTGGCTGTGCAGTGGGTTTTATTTATAAATAAAAATGGAAGCTTTAAAACGAATTTCGCCAATATGCTCATGCATCTGTAAAAAAATGTAAAAAAAAATTAAATTCCTTATTATAAAAATATACAAGAATTTCTAAATATTACATTAATCTTGTGTGTATACTATTCCTCGTGTTTACTATTTCTTGGCAGGAATAGTTTTGCAATTCAGTTTGAGTGATTTCTTTTACATATTTACTGCTTATAAATCTTGCAACTGTAACTTGTAACTTATAAATCTTGTGCCTAACTACAAATTTAAGAAGAAATTCTTAATGCGTCAAAAGAGCTTTAACAAATATTCGTCTAAAAAACCTCTTTTCTAATTTATATTTTATGCATATATATATATATATATATATATACATCGTTATNAATTTATAACGTTTTTTTCCCTCAATTTCTATACTCTATTAAGTTATTCTTATCTAATATTATATATATATATATATATATTGGAATATTTTTACAAAAAAAATTGAAATGACTGATTAGTTCAATAATTTTGAAAAATATCAGTAATTTTCAATTTTTGACATGGCATTTTTAAAGTCGAACATTTACGGAAGATTTTAACCATTTTAAAGTTGATATTAAGGGTGGAATTAAAAAGGCATTGAACATCTTCCGTATACTTTTTATGCTGTGAAAATCATAATGTTCTTATATGAAATTAAAACAGTTAATATTCAATGCTGCAGTCAAATTTATTTTGTTCTACGGCAGTGAAACTAATTAATAAAAGAGCATGAAAACAAAATAGATGCCTTCCAAACAAAACACTTAAGAAAAATAGTGAAAATTTACTGGCTTAACAAAAAAAGCAGCATAGATCTAAATCTTAAATCATTACCTCTGTACTTACTTAGATCTGTACTTAAATTCAGAAGAACCAGTAATAATAGTTTGCACTTTTGATAAAATTGATATTGTACGAATAATGAAGAAAAATTCTACATATTCTCTAGGTGTAGTTTATAAGATAAATTGATGTGAACAATATTCATGATAGATGGACATTTTTGCAAACATATTTCAAGATTTTTTAATTCTTTTGGCTCATCAAATTTCATTTTCTTGTTGACTTTATGATAGGGAAGGGCTTTAATTTTTATCTTTTATTTTTATTTTCATTTGTTCCCAGTTATTGCTTTTTCGCTTCATTAGCTCTAACATATTTTTTAAAAGCGCAATTCCGAAGATGTAGCATGGAATAACAGGATCAAAAATATTTTTATCCATGTTCTTAATCACTTCTTAAATTATCTGATTCGTCACGCTCTGACTGAATCAGAAAAAAGTTTCTAAGGAGGCTCCTTGTACCGTTATGTGTTTCTAAGAAGTGCTTAGGGCATCTTTTTAAGAGCATGTATCTTGAAAATATTGTCATTCACTATAACCAAAAAGAAAAAAAAACATCAATAGCTGAAATCTATCAAGTATCATAGTTCAGAACTTAATGAAAAAACACTTAGTTAAATTTCAACTCTATGATTGTCAAATAATATAGGAAAAAGTATAATGCCCTCCTTAAATTCCTCAGAAAGAATCCTTATTAGGAAGTATTTCCTTTTTATTGTAAGAATTTGAACAAAAGAGAAATATACCGATAAGAAAAGAATGCATACTTTACATTCCATTCCATACAGAGAAAAAAAATATGATCAGTACTACCTAAATATGGGGAAATTTACCATGTTACTGGCTCTATGGAAATACAAAAAAATTGGTAATGATTTTGGTAAAATTAGCTGAAGCGTATATTTTAAGATGTGATAAAATGTAGAAAATGGGAAAAAATTTGATAATTTCATTATAATAAATTAGAGTACATACAAAGATACAAAGTATTGAAACGATTTATTTCTTTAAATTTACTTTTCAGGTTTGTATTTATTTTATTAATTTGTGGTAATAGGAACTGTGATTTTGAAAGCCCTAATTTTCTGTAAACCATTCCCAAATGAATGGTTTAATAATTGATTTTATTAATGATTCAATTCAAATCAAATTACCAACTGAATGACTCAAATTCTTTCTATTTTTGTTTTATTAACGAGAATTATAGTTTTCTTTACCAGAAATGCCATTACATAGCGATTACATCTACAGCTGTGAATCTGTTATTTGCCTCCTGCAAATTCAATCAAAGTTGAACCACGATATTTTCATTCCTCTTTTCAATTTTAGCATTATTTTTTCATAAATAACTGTTATAACAGCAAGTGAATAAAAATTCTTCAAGAACTCCAAAAACTTTAATGTGCCACAAATGGAATACAAATTGAATAAGTAAAAGCAGTTGAAAATTTTAAAATAAATATTTGAATGCATGCCTAACAAACGAATGCACTATACTTTAAAACATCTGTAAATATGGAAGTTACCTTACAAAATTTGGATTTCTGGCAAATTGTATTGAAAGTTTGAGAAAAAATACAGATTACATCAAATTTCAGGAATTTGTAAAAAATATGAAGAAACGGATCCAATCTAAAATACAAAAAAAATCATTATGTAAATTTTTACATCACTTAAAAATATTATTTGGACTGAAATAACTCCCTAAATTCTAACTCAAAATCCGCGCTACATTATTAGAACATTGGTAGGTAAAAGGTTAAATTTTGGAATAGACTAAAATTTGCGTTTTCTTACGTTGAAAAACTTCTCAAGACGACTATATTTGCAATCAGACAATTTGTTTACGTCGACCTTTATTATTAAATACTTAAATCTCCTTACATAACTGACCTTTTTTTGATAGGAATCAATGCCACTGTATAACTTCAGCAAATGAATTGTTCCATGATTTACTGACTTATCGATTTGCTGACAAATTTATGATAAAAGAATAGCATTTTCTTATTAAAATAATAGAATATGAAAGAGTTTTTGAAGATAAATTTAATAAATAGATTAATACATTTCATAAAGTTCAAACACCGTATATCATCATATTTGAACATAATGAAGACATTTACTATATAGTTTCCGTATATTAAATTAAAGTCAATTTATTTTTGTGTATATATCTGTATCTATCCATCTCTATTTATTTATCTATTTCTCTATTCGTTTATATTACGAAAAACTTATGAATTTCTGACAGCAAAGTTGCCATCCATTTGCTTATGAAAAAACAAGTAGACAACAGAAAATATCTGCACGTAACACGTATTATCCTTTAGTCAGGGTATGGCAGATACACTTGTCCTGAGGATAGATGCATAACCTCTATTTAGCATAGTAAAACAGATATCAATAAAAACTTAACCATTGCATTTTTTTTGCGAGAATTTTTTCTGAGACATCAAAACCTATCAAGTTTGAAAAATAGTAGAATTAGAATAAATAGAATCTTCATCCATCATTAAGTTCAAACTTATTCGAAGTGGGATTTGAACTTATTATAAGGCCCAAATCCTTGACCATCATACAAGCCGGCCTAAACCTGATGAAATGTATCAAATTATTTGTTGTCATTTTGTTACCAAGGTTTTTCATATTCATAAGTGAAAAAAATTTTTTGACCAAACCGTTACAATCTGGATCTATAGTAACATATTTAATTTTTTAACTGAAAAAATCTGTTTCAACAGATTTCGATGTAGTTCAACAATGTATTTCTGTAGATTTAGAGAGCAGCAGTTTTTTGTAAAAAAAAGTTCAGAACTATTATGTTTTTTACCTGTATTCTTCTACAGTGTACCTTGAAAATAAATATTTTTAGTTAGATAAATTTAAACATTTCTACTACACCAGTGATATTATGTTAAGTTTAAATTAAATTATATATTTTGATACAACTTTTGAATTTATTTTCTAAGTGGATAAAATGAAATTTTTATTTAACTTATTAATAATATAGCTATATTTTTTTTCACTTTTTCACTTGAATAATATTTATTAAATTATTTCGAAAAATTGAAAAATTATTATTATATTGAAAATTTTCGTTAATCTTGTAAGTGACAATATAACTTCTATTTTTCTTTCATAGCACCACGAGCTCCAGATAAACGGTTATTACTTTCTGCCAATTCATCTGCTGTGAATGTAAACTTAAACAGCTGGCACAATGGAGGATGTCCAATTAATTTTTTCATCATACAATACAGGCCTAATGGACAACAAGAATGGACATTAGTCAGCAATAATGTAATACCAGAGCAAAATAACATCACAATTACGGATTTGAGTCCTGGCTCGTGGTACTCGATGCTTATGACTGCGAAAAATGATGCCGGTTCAACAGATGCGGAATATATTTTTGCTACTCTTACTCTTTCTGGAGGTATTCCTGCATGTTTCTATCATTACGAAGGATATTAATGTAACAATACCCTCTTATTAACTAAAAATTTTCAGTATCATTGGTAATCGTGCATAACAATACACTTTAAAAACAAAAACTGTTAAATTTATAGGACACCGCTGTCAGCTGGTTTACGAGCATAAAACCGCTTATTCTACAGAAAAATACTGTTATTTAGAAATAAGTGTCTGTTTTTTATTAAGCAGGATAGAACTGTTACTTTAACTCACATACTCTGTTATTTTAACAAAAAGAAACTGTTATTTAATTAAAAAAAATTCTATAAAATAAATCGAGCCGAGAGCAGCATTCGTACGAGAAGACGATGATGCCTTTCGAATCCGGTTAATCTAAATAGGAGGCGAGCATGCTGTCCTCTGAACCACACTACCGCAGCTCTACTGTCTCCGTATGAATTTAAATCCGAAACGGTTTCTATCCCTAAAATCTTATTTACTGAAACAATAATAAATGTTTAAAACTATAATTTACCATCCGTACAAAAATGTCCGGCAACTTAACGTACAAAAAATGCCACTGAAAAAGGTATAATAATCAGGTAGAGTGTCATTCTTAGGATAAAAGCAAATCGCAATTTAATATAATTCTCAGAACCATAAATTAATTGCTGGAAATTAAGAGCAAGTTTAGAAAATAATCATAAAATTGTTTTAAAAAATGTAGTTTTCATAAGGTAAACGCAATTGCACGGCAAAAACTGGAATTTAAACTCATGGTTTTAATCCGTTTATTACTAGCTTAGGAGACAGAGAAAAATGGTTTTGTCAGAAAAGCGGCTTTAAACCTTCAAATATACAGATAATGTCAATAAAAAGAACGGGAATTTTTTACAGTGCGAGAAAGATGCTTAAATCAGTAAAAATCTATTTTTCTTAAAACAGATTTATTTTCTCAGAAAAATGCTTTCTTTTGTAGAATTTACAGTTAACTTTTTAGTAAAACTTTCATTATAAATTGTATCGCTATTTTGTTTTAAGTTTAATTTTGAAGTTGTTTTAAGTTTGATTCAGAAGTTTTGAGACAATTTTACTCATACTAGTTTATTTTCAAAAAACTTAATTTTATTACTTATGGAAATAAAAATATTTTAGTTTTTAATTGAAATATTCTGAATATTAAAAGACAATAATTCGAACATTTGTTTTCAGTGTATCCTCCAAGACCATCAAAGATAAGTGACATAAGTGGATCGTTTTATCGTCATTTAACGATTACGGTCCCAGTGGTAAGTTCTATAATAGTTTTGGTGGTAGTATTTTGTGCAGTATGTTTTATCAACAAGCATAGGTCATCAGGAAATGTACAAAGAACGCCTAATGGTAAGTAACAAGTATTAGAATGAACTCCTAAAACAATTTCTAAAAAAGCTATGTATATATATAATATCTCCTTCTTTTTCAAATTTGTTCAATAGCTGAGATTGAGTGCCGAGATCCAGTAAAAGGGGAAAATGTACCACTTTCTGTTACATATGATGGGACTCATGATCCAGCATATTTGCCAACACCTTACGCTACAAGCAGAGTTGCAGGTTACGGAAGGGAACACTGTATTTTACAGGGAGCTGCAGATGAACAGATTGTTGGAACATTTGGAAGCACAAGAAGTGGATTCACCTACAGTGTACCGCAACAAGCGCGACAAGTAAGCTGCTATTAAATTTTGTATTAAAAATTTATTAGTTACACTAGTTTAGTTATAAATAATGACAATTAAATTGTTTGCATATCTGAAGCACAAACTATAAATTATAAAAACAATAGTTTTTTAATGATGCAATGTACGAATATATGTACATACTTGAGTCGAGATCAGATGTTACATTAGCTTTCAAGTTATTTTTAAATAGATTTTTCATGCTATATATATTAAAAATATATATATATATATATATAGATACATCTTCANTATATATTTTAAGTAGTAAAAATTCTTTTTTTTAAAATATATAGCTGTTCGTTAATCATACATTATCTCGATTAAAAAGAAGATTATAGATTAAAAAAACATTTTTTATTTCTCAACAGTTTGATGTCTAACAAAGTTAATCAAGAATTTTTTTCTTAAAAATATATACTTTGATTATAATTAATCCAGAGATAATTTAGAAAAATCAAAAGTAAGCATTACAAATTTATGAAATGATGACATTTGTGAAAATATTTAGGATAAATATTAATTTGAAACATCAAATATATAAAAGTGTGAAACATTATTTGAATTTAAAGCTTCTATTTAAAAATACAGTTTGTTCGAGTCTAATTAGAATTAAGTTTCTTACTAGCATCTTTAAATATAAATTTTTCAAGAGAAAGTAATCGATTTTTACTTGAACTAATTCAAAAATATCTTATTTATTTCAGGTAGAAAAGAGTGAATGCATTTATGAATCACCTGTGATATATTTTTCTGGTTACAGACATATAGGTAATTTTTATTTACAACTTCACGAAATTCAACTTTTTTAAATAAAGCATTGTGTTACCAAATATTAAAAGAGAATAATTTTTAATGGAATGCTTAAAGTGCATTTTTTTGCATAACCTAACTGTTTTTAATAATATTTACTAACTACATTTTAGCTTTCTTCAAATAATATATTTCTGTATGTTAAAAAGCTAAAATATAATAATTAATTAAAAATCAAAATTAAAATCTGGCTTTTAAATTTTTATTTTGAAAGCTTGTTTGTTTGAAGTATCTTGAAAAGAAAGACTTTTTCCAAAATACTCAGTAAAACCAGTATTTTTACTACATAATATACATAATAACAAATGCGATACGATTTTGAAAACAGTTTTTTTATTGTAAAATAACTTATGAAGATTGATTATAAATTATTGATTATAAGATTATTAATTTAATGCATTTTAACGAAATTTGTTGTCAAGCGATAGCTCTTGTATTTTGCAAAATACTTAAGTTAAACATTTAGATTTAATTAAAAATTTTATTTTTCTCTTTAATTCCCATAGTAATTGTTTATATTGTTTTTAAGTATAGAAATTAGAACTCGTTCAGATCACCCTATATATGAAGTACCCGATATAAGCAGAAGAAAAATGCACAGCAGTTCCAGATCCTGGCGAGAATCAGGAGATGGGTAAGAGTGAATAATTATAGGGCATGAATTTCGTAATATCTCACAGTAATGAACTCTATGAATAATGAATGTGTATTGAATTCTATTTGCTCCATGAATATGTAATGGATTCGATTTACAATATGAATTTTTGAGCTTTATTTTAATTTTTCTTTTCATCCTTCGTAAAACGCAATAAATGGTGACAGTCTTATCAAATAGATTTGACTGAACTGAGGTATTTAGGAAAGATGTTTCAATTAAGGGATATTATGAAAGCATTGATTAAATAGTGGACGGAACTCAACTAAAAAAAATTTTTAATAGTTTTTGAAACAAAATCTTATGTAGAAATTGTAGTGCTGTTGGACTGACGAACCTGTAACTTCTGCAGAGTTGAAGAGTTTTTATAAGAGCTGCCGGTTAGATTATAAAAAATAAATAACTTTCACATTAAATGTATCTTCTCTTAAAGTTATCGGTATTTAAGCTGCATTTTCAAGAAGTGTTATCTGCATTTTTTAAAGCTGCTGGATAGCATGACCGAAAACATTTAAAAAAATTTCTAAATTTTTATTTTAAAGTTTAAGAGCAGGATCCTCGTAAATATTTTTTTATTAGTAGCTCTCAATCAATGTAGTGTTTTATTAGGAACACATTTTTTGAAAATTTAGAAATATATTAAAGAATTTAATTTCTTTGCTGTAATATATTTCATTAAATTAGACTTAACATGAGCAAAAATAATAATATCTTAAAAACATTATAGATTTCTAATCTTACATATCAGTCACGTTCATTTTTATTGCTATAAATTACCTTAACTTTTATGACTTGTGTATAATTTAATTCATTTATATTGAAAATTGTGAAAACTTTCTGGCAGCTAAAAACGCTAATAGTGTTCCAGGTTTTAAATACAATACAATTCAGTTTTATTAACGGGTAAATTGCTAGTAACAATATTTTTTATTAATTTGAATCTTGCTCAAAATTCCAAGAAGTCAATTATTTTTTCTTTTATCTCAAGTAAATGAGTTAAATACATATTTGTGAAACTTAAATTAAACTAACTTAATGAAAGATTTTAAATTTATGACTTTTATATTTCTTTTTCAAGAATATTTTGTTGTAAAAAATATTCTAAATTTTTACTGCAATGTAAAAATTTCTGATTAATTTAAAAATTAAGATTGAATTTCTGACATCACATGGTGAAAATAATATTTACTCATTCTTTTTTAATTCTACAGTTATGGTAAAGAAGAAATTGCTTTAATTTTTCATTGTTTGTTGTATTTTTAACAGTAAAGTAACTTTTCAAAGATCTCGAATAATAGTAATATAATTGTTTTTCTTTAATTAATTAAAGAAAAACTGAAAATATTGTATTTGAATCCATGGCATAAGAGCAGAGTTGATTTAAGACTTTAGTAAAATGACCAATCAACTTAGGAAAATATTATTCACCTAAAATTAGTAAATAGATATTCTTTGTTAGATAACTTTTCAATTTCATAACAACTAGTCTTTAGTGATTTACCCACTTCTGTTAAAAGTTCTTGTCAATTTAAGCTGGGAATCTGTAGGATATATGCGATAAATACCCTGCGCGAGAGCTCACGTATGTTTTTACAGTAAATATATCAATTATATTTTTTAAACTAATCACATTTTGTTCCATAAATGATACATTAACAAATTGATTAGTGAAACACAAGTTTTAAATTGTACGTTATAAAAGTTTCATTTTACGAAAATGGTCTTTTACTTTTTTCAATAATCCTCCAACGCTGACTTAACCTGCTAATCGCCATTAAGCAAATACATTTAAATAAAATGTTTGTTTCTGATCTTTCTTTAGAGATTCTAGTACAGGATCAGAAAATGAAGATCTTTTGTATACTCACCGCAATCCTGATGAAAGAATTATTCAAGAAGCAAGAGAGTCCGAAACTGAATGTGATAGGTTATGTGAGTATTTTTAATGCATTTCATGTTTTGATGTTTTCCAAACATGACGAAATGAGCATTAAGAATATTGTTAGCATTTAATGTGTTCCATCTTGCGCTTTTCACAAATGTGTTAGACAGGAGAAAATGGAAATAAAAAATTTTATTTTTACAGCAAATGTAAAAGATAATTTTTTCCACGTGCCCAGTTTGTGTTATTAAAATTAATTTAATTTATTCTAGTCTAGAATTATGTTAGTCGTAACTAAAGTAAATTCAAAAAAAGATTTCAAATTTTCTAAAAATATCTACTATACTTCCATAGTTGAATGATTCTTTGAATAATCACGACTGATTTTGCATATAAATTTATACTGGGCTGCTCAGAGTCACGCACACAGCAATAATTATCTTCCATTATATAAACAAAATCATGGAAAACTACACTATGGTATATATTAAATTTATATTGAAATTCATATTAAATGAGTACTGGAAAAGAAGTATAAAGCCACTGAAAAAAGTGAGCAAACGTACGAAGAAAGGACTTAGTTTTATTTTATAATATAGAATCAGATTATGACATAATAAAATCAAAATGAAGATGGTAGCAAAATACAATACACATTTATGTAGTATATATTTATATACAACATATATGTATATTGTTTTATATTTTTATTTCATTTATATTTTTTAACTTGATGTGTCATAATTAAATTTCAACAAAAAGTAAATTGGTAAAAAAATATTAAGTCGGTACAATTATTAAATCATTAATCAATGAGATCCTTTGTTTACGATTACATTTGTCAATCTCGCTTTCATAGACCCTGATAGAGTTTGTAAAACGCTGGTATTAATAGTATTTCAAGGCATCTTGATTGTATAAATTAAACCCGACTTGCTCATGAATTGTCGGCCAGATCTGTAAGCGTTTTTTACTAAAATGTCCTTAATGTTTTATACCGGTTTCAGATATAGGCAACGAGAGGGCCACTCGAGGGACTTAAAAGCATTTGCTTTCTTCCAGGACTTAGTTAAATAGGAAGTATGAACTGCCTCATTGCTTGTAGGGTGGTCCAGTTATAAGAAGAGCAACAGTAAATAAATGATTTCCGAGTATATCTTGATACCAAATTGAATTCCTTTTAGTTAGTATAATTTTATTCGTAGTTGTACCACAAACTGCAGAAAAAGTTATTCAAACTATAGCAGACCCTCAACCAAATTAAAGTTTGGACAATGAGAGTGGTTTAGTAAGTAGTACCAAAAATATCGATAGCCATCTAGTCCATTCAAATTAAACTTCATATTATCAGAAACGACTACATCACTCCAATTCGTATCTTAAGATGTTTCTTTGCACATGCTAAACGAGCATCTTTGTATCATCTAGTAAACGGAGGTTTTCCCTTATTATTTTTAAATTGAAAGTTCGGATTGCTACTTAAATAATTTTTAACATTGCCGTTACTCCACTGTTCACTTTTATTTTGTGAAGAGGATATCTTAGTCCGACAAGAAACTTCCAAATTCGTCTTACTTGCCTTCATAATTTATTCCAATACAATGTTTCCTGCCATAGCTTTCAGGATTCCTCAGGTAAGTATCCGCTGCAAACTTGAACCTTCATATTTTTTTGCAATTTGAGAACCAATCCAGCCCATTTGCTTAAAAGCTGAAACTCTACCTCATTCATCTTCCGTCATTCGTCTTCCGTTCCCCATTGCATTGTATTGCGCGTGCAAACTACCAAAATCTGCTTTTATACAATTAGGATTTGCTTCTTGTACCACTTTCTTGTATTTTTAAGGCAATGACGTAATTAGTATGGACTTTATACTTTTTTCCAAGTTGTTTTTCAATAAATATTTCAATTTTGAACTTATTTAAATGGGATGTGAAATAAAAATAAAATTTTCAGGGAAATCAATTATTTTTAAAGACGAATGCATTGTTTTCAGGATGAGTTTTAGCAAATTAATAACTTTACATGCTGGTTTGAACTGAAAAGAATTATGTTTTTCTTACGAAGCACATTTTAGCTTCAGCCGCCAAAACATCAAGTCATTAAAATCATGAGATGAAAAAAAAATAGAATTAAAAATTATTAAGCATAATTCATATGAATGAACAAATATTAATGAGATCTGTGAACTTTTGCGCGATATAATGAAGAATTGAGTTTTATAAAGCTGATTACGTTTCAACTTAAGAAATGTGTAAATTATGTATAATATTTTTTTTACTTTAATTACTTGCTTTGAATTTGTAAAATATTGAATTATTGAGACATTTTTCTCAAATAGACCACAGAAACGATTTTTTTTCATGTGCATTTTGAAATACATTTTGGGGTAAGTATATAATGATAGCCATAAACTTTTTAAATCGAAATAAAAGCACTAAAAATAGAGATGCAAGTAAATTTGTGCATATTTCAATCTCTCATATGTGTACTCAACAGATTTGTTATATTTAGAAAAGCATATGAAAAAAAAGTTCGAAATTAAAGTAAAAAGCCATCATTTTTCCTTAATGATGAGGTGAAACATCTAAATAATACAGTAAAAGAAAAGTTAAGATAAAATACAGAAAATGAATCATTTCATAAAGTTAAGCATCAAAAACATACAATAAGACGTAAGGAATGAGAGTTTTGTGAAAAAAGAATCTAATAAACAAAATGTAGAGTACAGATTTTATCCATCATATCCGAAAAAAACTTTATCACATTATTGGCAAAGGTATTCAAAGTGTGTACTTATTTCATGGAGCTATTGCATGCATCTATCTACACATCTCAACCAGTCACCGGTTTTTGCAGTGGAATTGTAATTTTCTCCGCAGCTAACAAACTAATACGCATCAAATGCTGAAATTGTAGAACTGGTGAGTATAGAGGCTTTTGGCGATCTAAAGGGATCTAACGGAGAATACCTTATATCTGATGAATCGGTTCGTCATGTTTCGTCATGTTACAACATGTAGTAATAAAATATAGTCATCTCTCCTGAAGTTGATCGAATTAATTCTCAATAATATTCCTCTATGTTTTACTCAGAAACAAATATTGAACTATATAAGTGCTTTAATGTCGAATTAATAATAACTCACCCATTAAAAAACGACGTGATACTTAAATCACGAAAAATATTTAACCATTAATAAACAAAATGTAAAATAAACATTAAAATATTACATAAGTAAAATAAACAGTAAAATTTACATACTTTTCTGCTGTCACAAAAAAACTATTCGATGTCGAAATTGATAAATAAGTCAAACTATTTTCTGTGAAACTGCATATGCTGCATCCCATAAAAAAAAAATATAGAAGATATTAAAACTGGCCATAACTCCTCGATGGAATTCTAACCTAGACTTACCTTGTACAGAAATTTTATTTATTTCTAGATGTCTAAAATAGCTTTAAATTTTCTGTCCACAAGAATTTATTTCATTTTTTGTAACTACTGCAATATGGAAAAACTGTACAACATTATAATCAATAATTTTTAAACATGTTTTTAATTATTTTTTTAAGGGAAAAACTTCGAATCTTGTGAGTACGAACGTAGTAAACAATGGACAGATGAGCATGTAGTATTAGCGTGAAAAGCATCCAAATGTTTTATCCAGGAAGAAGTGTGCTATTTTTGTTGTAAAAATTTCATGTTGTCAAAGTTATATTTTTATAAATAAAATTATAAATATTTGAGTGATTTCTTTTTTCTGAGACTCTGCTACATAATTTCTTTTATTAAACTATTATTCAGTTTTACAAGCAGAGGAGAAAAAATTTAAAATAAACAAGCGAATTATTTATACACTGTTACTAATTTCTGGGAAAAAATGGTTTAATAGCAATTTATTTAATTATTATTTTAACCACATTCCAACAAAGTAGTCAACTAAGCATAAATAAAATGATATTCAAACTACTAGCTTTGAGAAGACCCGATTATTAACTACTTTCACCTAATATGTTTAAATAATCGAAATTTTATCACACCATCTTAAACTAACTCAGTTTCTTACAGTTGGGTACATTTTATAGCTGAGACACAAGAGAATTTTTCTGTGTCCTGTACTCCCCGATTTGTGACCCTGGTCAGTTAGAATACTATACTCTCATTCACACATAGATGGCAGCACCATGAAACTGCTAACCTATCTCCAATGTCCAGCTAAATTTCGTTATTTACGGTATTAAGACCATGGTTTCAGAACTGTAAAGTTAAAAAATGTTCATCACCGTAAAATTTACGGCTAATTGGATGAACAGATTGCTGCTTGTTATTTTACCATAATATTTGAATGAAAATTCTAATAGTGTATAGATAATATCATATTACAAAAATACTTAGTTTTGAACTATTTACTTAAAACTATGTAAACAAAGTCTTTCAACATATTTCTCTGTCACGAGATTGGTTCGTCCCAATATAAACATGCAGATTCCACATATATATATANCGCTCAGAAGCCAATGCGGTTAAGTCCATTTTTTGATATTTTCTGATTTTTGGAAATTTTGATGAAATAAATAATAATCTTCTTAGTTATTAAAGGATTTACTCGTTGGTTACTTTTTTCTAGGTTAGACAGCAATTTTTTTAATAGCTTCTGAATATATTATATAATAATTTCAGAAGCCATTGTGAATAAGTCCACCTTTTATCAATATTTTTTTACATAAACTTTGAAATAAAAATTAAATTCTTCTTTCATCGATATTTTTTGGTAACACTGAAAAACAAGAAATTCATAGTAACCAGGGTTGCCAGACGTAGTATTTTTAATACTACGGTAGTATTTTTTCACCAAAAAAAGGGGGTATGGTATTTTTTGTAGTATTTTTTTAAAATGTGGTATTTTTTATTTTTTTAATTTTTTTTTTCATTTCCTAAAACAAAGAAAAGTGCCACTTTAGTTTTGAAGTAAAAAACAATTTTTGAAATAATCCAACAGTTTATTTTCTATTAGTCACTGTATCTAGTGATGATTGAGAAAAATCGAAGTTCGTTTATACTAGAAGACATAAATTTCCTATCTTTTTCAACTGCCAAAAGGTATAAGTCCTAAAATTTTTAAGATGCTGTCATTATTTCAATAAATAGTTACGTTTTTATTTACACATCCTGAACATATCTTGTTTTTTTGCAGAGTTTACACCTCGAAAAAAGAATTTATACACTTTTCTAATTAAATTAATAAACCAGGAATTTTAAAAACTAATGTATCAAAAAACATTAATTTTCTCAATTGTTGTGTTTTGGACTTAACCGCATTGGCTTCTGAGCGACTCATATATATATATATGCCTTTAAAGGCTAGATAATTTAAGACACTTAGGCTGATTCAGATAAAAAGGCATTTTATTAAGTTATATTAAGTATTGAAAACATTGTTCACTGGAGTTTTGCATCTATTACATTAATGGGTTTCCATAGCAGGAACGTTTGGAATTGTCGCAGATTTATCTAGCCATGAAAAATATGAAAAAGCCCACGAATGTTTGGTTCTCTTAATAGTTAAAGGGAGGATCTGAAAGGGAGGTGGTCGCAAGGATATTCTTATCTTAATGAAACGTCATTCAATTGATAAAATTTACAAATTTTGATTCGCTAAAAGGATAGCGCCACTCTGATGATGGGTATTTTTGGGAGTATCTTAATGCGTACTTCATCTACGAATTATTGCCCATTAACTTCAGAAAATAATCTTTTATCTGGCCTCATCTGGTTTACCTTGATTTCTTATGGTTCTTTGTGAGAGACCGACTTCTATATCTTGTAATAATATGCCATTAAAGGCTAGATAATTAAAGAGACTTCGGCTTATTCAGATAAAAAGGCATTTTATTAAGTAATATTAAGTATTTTTTTATGACCGCCGTTGAACAGCCGACCCAATTTTTGGGTTCACGACTACTAATGTTCAACGCCGTAGCCTTGTAGTTTTGAACCAATCCAGAAGACAAGGAAACTCCTGGATCGGTACCCCCAGAAGTATTGATTTGTTATGAGAACATGGAGGACTTTGAGACCAGACAGATTTAGCGTGCATCAGTCACCATTTACTACACGGGGGGGGGGACCGAAACCACGAACTCTTGGACAAGGACCCGGCGCCCCACTGACCAAGCTACCCCGGCCTAGTAGCGACAATTTAATTTTACATTGATTAACTAGCAGTGATACATTACAGACTCAAGGGATGGACATCGACAATAACAGTACAATATAAAATAGCTAGTCAAGTCACAGGTATTATTTTTTTTTAATTATTACTTTTTTTTTAAAATTTATTTATTTATTTATTTTTTTTACATTTAACATAAATGGCCATCACGGGTAGCTGAAAAGTTTCGGACTCACTGTCAGTTAAATTTTTAGTTTCCCTAGCAGGAATGTTGAGAATTGGCACACATTTATCAAGCCAAGAAAAATATGAAAAAGCCTAAGAGTGTTAAATTATCTTGCCTTTAATGGCATATTATTACATATATATAA